TCTCATAAATTGCTCATAAATTACTTCTAAGCTGTGAGACACTTTTGGAATGATGAACCTGAAAATGTCAGATGAGTTTACCTTCAATCCTGAATGAAATTTTAATCATAACCTTAAGAATTTAAAGAATCTGATTTAAACAGCAAAAAGCTAAATGTGATTTTGATCTTAGAAAGTTAATGGGTCCATATAATGAAACTTTTAATACATTTTTGGAATTAATTATAAACTACAAACAGCCTATATTCATCCCTGCTTGCCCCATGAGCTATACAGGTTCTCAGTTGGCTTCCAAGTGCAATTCAAAGTACTACTTATCATCTATAAAATCAAACATGACATGGGATCAAGTCATTTGTAGAAACCCTGTCTCTGTTTCTGCCCATCCCATTAGATCCAGCAGGGTGAGCATGCTCTGGATCCTGTCTATTAAATAGACCTTGCCACAGCACTGCCCTCTAGAATGTAATAGTTCCTGAGATTCATAGAATTCTGCATTTCTGGGGTTTCAGAAACCTTTGAAGAAGGCTGTTCCCTTGAGCAGGAGGTTGGACTATTAAGTGAGCGCATCACAATGAGTTTGCTTTTCTTATTCTTGGAGTTAAGTTTTTCCTTGACCATCATTATTTTTCTTACTAATAGACTTGGTTTAATTGATCCTGTATGTGTCAACTACAGTCACAACTGTGAAATGATAAGTTATGCAAGCTGATGCAATAAATAAAATATTAGCAAAATGTATTTCTAGCCATTTAATAGAGTACAAATTACTAAGTTTAAATCACTTGCTAATGAACAATTAGAAACACTATTATGATGATACAAAAATCAGATGACTAACTGGCATAAAGACTGGTTTTCTGGATTTCTGTACTGCCATCTATAATATTGGTTATCCAGATCTTTGAGTTGAGATCTGATCATTCTGATCAAATCGTTCCAATTTTCTAACATAAAATGAAGTGTTTAATCAAAGTACAAATAACAATATAGTTGAGTGTTGTATGTACGTGTAAGACCAGCTTGTCAAGGGCTCTTTGATAGAAACAGACTGTTACAACATAGGCCTCTAAAGAAAGAGTTATTCAGTGTTTGAGAATACATGGCTATAAATAATATTCCGGCAATGGCAGCAACAATACACAACAGTCTTCAAGGGTTATTCTCCCACGCTTATTCCTATTATGAGACATCTTAGGTATTATATGTCTGTGGCTTAACATTCCATTTTATATACAATTTCATTTTTCAAACAACTGATGAAACTTAGCAAACTTCAAGTAGCTACTTTGGAACACATTAATGACATACTGTTTGTGACATTAAGTAAACCATGGTTGAAGAAGTAAAAAAACCATGGTTGCTCTAAACTGCAAATAGATCCAACCACAGAAATAGTAACTCATTCCTCCTCTATGGAGGCCAAATATTTCAATTTTTGTAACAGTTGGCACTTCTGAGCCTTAAATGATTGCATGCAAAGTAAAAGATGGCCTGGTCACTTAGGCACATTTTTCCAAATCAAAGTTCTGTACAGGAGAAGTAAATGTGTGGTCCACATGTACATGTGAGAAATGAACCAAGAACAGCAGAGATGATGTTGCAGAAGTAAATTCACTGTTGGTCAATTCTATTTCTTACTATATTTTCCAAACTAGTACTTATTTAACCACAGGTTAATCATTACTCAACATTGGACTATCAGATCATAGCTAAAATAAGCCCACATTCAAAATGTCATAAGTACTAGCTGTAATTAAAGATTAATGTGACCTTAATTTGATTCATGATTTAGATACCATATTAAGATCAACTACAATAAATATGGCTTAGTATGTCATACAGAAGAAATCTAGCATACAAACAACAGAGAGATAGTAACCTGTACAAAACATTTAACCACTGTATGGCAACCAGCTAATCAGATTAGATTAATATCAAAATATTGTGAACTGCTTTGGATATAAAGATTTATCCAAGAATGCTTAAAGGAAAAGAAGAAGGAGGTCATCATGTTTATAAGCTGTTTCAGTAATATTCCCCAAGCAAATATTTACAAAGGAAATCTAAACTATCCCACAACTTCATAGGAAATAAAGTAAAAATATTGCTAATATTGCTATTGTAAGTGACTGCTTAGAAAAACTGTGTTAAGTTTCCTCTCCTTCCTAGACTTTATATTTCTAAAGTAACCTCAGAACCCTTTTTTTCTGCAAGAGTACAGAAACAACTGTTTCAGCAGTAAGCTAAGCCTAGAGCATGGGCTCATGAGCCAGACCATAATTATTAATTACACCTGTGGGGGGAATGGTTCTCACTACATATTCTGCCCAATTAGCATTCCTCTCCTGCATTCTATCCCATTAAAAGAACATGCTGACATCTTCCCTGTTGGCTCTCTCAGCAGCTGTGCCATAAAGAATTCCCCTGGGCTTTTCCAACAACTTCTTGTTTTGCTTCAGTCCAATTCTCCACAGAAAAATATCCTTGCGTGCATGTCCAGTCATATTTTGATACAATTACATAAAATACATCTATTGCTTCTCAGACAGAGGAATCAGCTGTATAACCTGGCAGAAAGCAAAGAGAACTAAAGCAGGTATTTGGGTTGCATTTTTGGATAGTGAGATTGGTGACATATAAATTCAATAAAAATAAAACATACAAAGTTGAGGGGGAAATTTCCAGATAGTCTTCCTCTCATTCCTAGCTTTTTTCAAATGTTTCCTCAGAAAGTTTTGCTTCCTCTGCATCCTGAAATATTCCTAAAGTATAATTTTATACCAAAGGAATTTTCCAGATATATAGAGCACGTGACTAATATTTTATAAAGAAAAAGAAAATATTCTGGCAGTGTTAAAGACAGAATTTACCCTGACAGCAATTACAGCATTTCTCCCAAAATTAGTGCCTCTCAAATATGTTGAAACCCCAATACCCGGAAAGTAGGGAAAGAGAAAAGACACTTTTCCTCCCCCTTCTGACCCCATACAGTGATGCTGAGATTGGGAACTGTCCTTTCTTACCATCATTTGTAAAATACTCTTTGATTGGGATACCGTAGATTTCTATTTTTCGTACGAACAAAATACTCAATGTGTAAATAATCTTTATATTAGTCTTGTATGTGAGGCTAGAAACTCATCCGGCCATTAAGACACTCTGCTAGTTCCATTCAGTTGTGCAGATTCCACCCGGCAAGGGATTGTGGAGTTGTTAAATGAAGATGTTGATGGTGATGGTGATGTTAGGCTAGAAACTATATCCCATATTGTTGTAGACTAGGATGGCAGTGGAGAAATTGAATCTATGGCTTGCCTAACATCAATTAGGGAGTTTATGACTGATGCAATACTTGAAGTAGGGGCTTTATAAGTTCATTTTTATGATATCTATGGATATCTAGAAATGTCTTGCTGAAATTATATATTATTTCTATAAAGTGTTCCTGGAACTGCAATCTTACTTAAAATGATTTATCCTTATAGCAAATTTTATTAGGTGTTTGGAGATGATCTTGAAGAACTAAGCAGAACTGAGCTTGGTTAATAGTCATTGGCTCAATACAACTAAATACACATTTTCTGCTAAGACATGATGTGGCTTTGTTTAATTTAGCATATTGTGTAGACCAAATCATTGTAATTTATAAACCAGATTTTATGGTTTAATCTCAGACTGAGTCAATTGTGTTTTATTTAATATGTAAGCACTTCAAATATCAGAATAATGGCCAGGCTGAGTTTTAAATCCATACATATATCTGAAAGTTGTGTAACATTATTTTTAATCCCTAGCTAATATTATTTTCAATGCCAAAGATAAGCCATCCACCATTGCTTCTGTTTGCTAGAACTACTCTTTATCAAGAGCAGAGTCATGGAAATCGGAAAGTAAGGAAGACCTCTTCAAAGATAATTAATAAAACTGAAAGGTAAAAAACAAGCACTGGGAAGATAAAAGCATCAAATGTCTTGCCAAAGTGCCATTCTTATATTTCTTGCTCTGAGGTTACAATTATACTGGTCTACATAAAACTCTTGCCATTATAGATGTAGCCAATCTCCCAATAAAAAAGAGATCTAAACTGAAGATTCTGAGCTGGCAGTTCCCTGACTTTCTGGCTGTTCCTATTACACAGAAACAAAACACCCAAGGGATAGTTGGAAATGACAAATTCTATGTCTGCTGAAGGCATCTGTTCCTTGGAGCAGACAGAGTAATAGAAATACCAAATTATTTTTATCTGCTGTCCATGATTCCCTAAAATCAGAACAACAAATATGTCAGGTGGAGAGAGAGGCAAAATAAAAGGCAATGGAGAGATCAGACTTATTTTCTAAGTTTGAAGGAAGAGATGGTAGATTTGGTGTTCATCCCAGAAGCCTTGTACCCCCATCTGCTCCACAGCTTGACTCTAAATATACAAGGTATATATACAGAGATAGTGGGAGGAGCAATAGGGCAGGTTTGGACAGCTACTGAAAGAATAGAAAGCAACCTTGGAGGTTGTCCCATGTTTTTGAGTCTCCATTCCAACATGATTCAGGAAGACAGTCCTTCCCAGGGTTAAGTTTCCCCTAGGGGACAGGAATTACTGCTTGAAATATTTGCCAACATAGATTCAAGGGACAGCAGCTAAACTAAAAATAAATATTAGAATGCAATGAAAGTAGATCTCCATCCAATCAAAACATAGAAGGTAGTTAAAATCATCTCCTTACTGTTCATGCCCACTGTTTAACCATAGGGAAGCCTCTAGCACAGCATTCTTCTCTCAGGCATTCCACACACACACACACACACACACACCATCAGGTATTCCCCACCTCCCCTGCATCAAGGTTCTGTGTTCCTTGTTATGTTGCTGGAAGAGCAAAACTCACCCAGCTAAGATTTCCTTCCCTGGGAGAGGGGGGCAAACCCATGGAGTTACATTGCATTCTTCCCAACCCAGCCACTTCCATTCCGTTAAGGTGCCAGGGGTGCCACACACTCACCTGTATGTCTTCAGATGCTCCTGTTTACAGCTAGTGAAGAGTTAATGCTGCCAGCTTTGCCTGGCCTCGTTCCCTGCCAGGTGTCCTGCCAAGAAATCGGGAAGCATACTTAATCCGTTACACCAGGAGGAGGAGGAGGAGAAGGAGGAGGCAATAGGGTGGGAAAAGGTGAGACTTCGCCTAAAACCGACCTGGGGGCACGGCGGTACCCTGGATGCCCGTGTGGCACGGAATCAGCCTAGAGAGGGAAGAGGGAAGAGCAGTTCTCAGGGCGACTCCGACGTGAGAGGAAAAGGCAATGGGAGGGCGAGGGCCAGCCTGTGCCCATCCACTTTTGGGGGTGCAATCACACACACCGGGGAGCGTCCCTTGCGATTCAGGTGCCCACCTGCCAAGCAGCCGGCGCCAACTCCACGCCCCGCCGTTGGCTCTTTGCCGGGGCAGGCAGGAAAAACTGGGAGGGGGTAGCAGATCCCGAGAACAACACAGACCCTCCGCCAGCCCGTCCCTCTTCCCTCCTTTTGGTTGCGCCGCCAATTCCTCCTCCCCCTCGCACGTGGTCATTCACGCTTTCTTCCTCCGAATTCCTGACAGGAGGAGGCCGCCCGCTCGCAATTATTTATACCGTCAACAAATGCCCCCGAAGGGTAATCACCTAACCGCAGCTGGCGGGCCCCAGGCAGGGCTGGACCCATTGGGCGAGAAACGGGGTGAGATGGGTGAGCAGAGTTCTCCTCAACATCTATGGGAGGGCAACGGAAACGGTTCCCTTTATTTCTCCCCAAATGCTGCGGAAAAGGGTAAGAGACATAAATGGCCATGTGCCGTGACGGCGGTGGTTGCAGTGGAGATGCACCGCTGCACCCTTTAGGCGCCCTTTCCCCGCCGCGCATTGTCTTCTTTTCCTTTGGAAAAAGGGAACAGGGCTCGTCCTAAAGGAGGACGTGTTACGTGTGCCGTTTGTGTTTTGCTACAGTTGCCTGTGGGATCAACCTGTGAGGGAGGTTGGAAACGGCTGGACTTGTTGCATGCGGTGGAGCTGGCTGCCAGGGATGATTCTCGGGGGCGCCGTTGCAGGGAGCTGCGGTGTTTAGCCATACTCGCAGACGCAGCTCCTTGTAAGCAAGTCCCGCTGAATTTAAAAGAGGTTTCCTTTTGAACAAACAATCATTATGCACGATTTGTTTCTCTTTTTTGGGAGGGGGGGTTATTTTGGAGTGAATCACAAACAAATGGAAAACTCTGGTCATGGATACAATCCTGGATCGTTACCCTAGAGCAGTTGTTTCCAGTGATATTTGTAATCAAGACTAGCAGCAAATTAAGACCAATGAGAAGGTTTCAAATATCTGAAGAGGGAGAAAGGCTTGTGCAAAATTCTGCCATAATATCTTTTATGTAATGCGGTATAGAAGTCCTTTTTGAAGGACGGATTTTTCCTCTTTCAGCTTCAGAATGGCATAGTTAAAACTGGCAAAGGGTATTGGCATTCTCCCCAAATCTGCAATATAGATTGGTTATAATTTTAGTCAGATCTTTATTATCCTTTCATCAATATAGGACTGTGAACAGATATGAACAGATGAAATGATTAAGTTTGTTGTAAATCAAACTCCAGTATTAGTTTTTATACATTAAGGTGTTAGTTAATTCATTATGGTAGCTCCCCTTGAGCTTCAAGAGGTATGTAGTCTGAAAGTCTTTGAATGCTATGTGGTATGTTCTGAGACAAATATGTTTTGCTCAGTGAAAGAATACATGAAAAATGATAGGCATTGGAAATGTTTTAATTTTTTATTTCAATAAAGTATACATATACGAAACAGCAGAAATGTATTATTTTTCTTTGTGGATATTTCCTGAAACAATTGCATCCTTTACCTCTTTTGTTATTTTAGTATGCATTTTTAATGGATTGCTTCTCAAACTAGATTTTCCCCTCCCTGTAATATTCAATAACAGGCAGTGTCAGCTAGAGGGTAGGTGGGTGAAATCACAATTAGATTTTCAAAAGGGACTTTACTTTTTAAGCAGTTAGGTAATATTGACTGTCAATTTTGAGTTTTATGCTTTTTCCATGCAACGCTACCCAGACAGACTTTCCTTGACGTAATGCCCTTCAAATCCCAGATTTTCCATTTTGGTAATCCAACATACCTAGAAAGATGCTGTTCTAGGGTAATATCCCCACAAAGCTTCTTTTATATAATCAACTCCAATTCTGTCTTTAGGGAGAAACTGGTGTGCTGTTACCCAAGTCCATTTTTTTCATTTTGGAGTTCTCCTAGATGATTGAACCAAATCTATTGGAAAATTGTGGATTTTCAGTCGCACAATTATTAATTTTTTCCATACAAATAAAATATGGGTATTAGGCTTCTGCTTTGTTGAAATGACTGTAACATCACTGTCCTATTCCCAAAGCAACAAATATTTCAGCCTCACCATCTAAAAATGTTACTGTCATATCCAACTGTGAGCCTTGAAAGTGCAGAAGTACTTTTTTTAAAGTGTAGTCCCTGTCTACAAAAAGATCACACTCCCCATAGGAAACTATTGAAATAGAATTCAAAGAAAATATGAAAAAGAAAAGTAGTGAACCTTTTTAATGACACATTATTTTGGAACAAATTTCATAGCAAATGAATTATAATTTGGAATTGTCCTGTCTTTGCATAGACTCCTTTTTCTGATGTTGATATTTCAACATGTAAATTTCAACATGTATATAAAGGCTAATATCCTTCTCATAAAATAATTCACTGTGATTCTTCATGCTACTATCAACTTAGACATCTGTCGAAAGACATTTTTATGCTATCCCATCACAAACCTTGGCCATCATGGGATTTTTAGCAGTTTTCACTGCAGGGGGATTTACCTGTTTTTGCTGTCACCTATACAGGTTGGATTAAGTATGAAATACTGGGTTGAAAAAGCGGGTTCTGTGAAGTTAGATTGCTTCTGAGCTACAGGTAGCCAACTAGAGTACCAATATATCTACCGTCCTATTTATGTTTTCATCAAGTTTCAGTCTTCTTTTACAGCATATCCTGGCAATCTTACAGCCTCAATTTCAAGTTGATTTTGTTCATTTTTAAAATATTTCTAAGCTGTTCCTCTTCATAATAATTTATTCCCAGAGCTGCCTCCCCCACCCCCCAAGGAAATCAATGGAAGCAACAATAAGTTGTATTGTAACTTCCACCTCCTCCTTTCTCTTGTTCATTGCTATCGTTTGCTCTACCATGTTGTAGTTGCCATTCCTTCATCATTTATTGGCTTGATTTGTTTTGATGCTGCTACTTGTATTGTCTTCTGCTTGTCTTGCTCACTGTATTTATTTATTTATTTAGGATATTTATATTGCCACCTATTTGCACATGGTGACTCAAGGCATCTTACAAAAATAGCCCGTCTCTAATGATTATCAGCAGATTTCAGAGATCTTCTTTGACCTATAAATTTACCTTTAGTAATACATAACTAAGAAATTATTGTGTAAGATGAAAGTGGATTGGTGATTGAAATCCTATTCTTAATATGCTGAGGGCCACCTAATTTCTCTCCTGAAATATTTTCCTCATTACTTTCATAACTGAGATAAGTCTTCATATCAGTTTTAAGTAATTACAGTACTTTAATTTTCTGGACTTTTCACTTTTTAAGAAAGGTGCATTTACTGTAGAGGTAAAGAAGAAAACATTTTTGGCAGTTTGTCCCGTTCTAATCAATGCTATTAATATTACAATCATTTGAAACAACTGGTTAGTAGAATACAGTGTTCAAACTATTGGGATTTTAGGATGCGGAGAGAGTGAATGGAAACAAAATAGAAATATAAAGCAAAACATAAAACATCCACAGCTGAGCCATTGATTTTAGATTGATAATGCAATGAGTTGCCATAATTCAAATATCTAACTCAGTATCTTTAAAATAAATTATTACAATAAATCAGAATCACTAGGACTATTCCCCAGAATTAGAAAGTAATTTAATTAAAAGCTGTTTTAGTATTTATTGTGTTATCCTATTTCTCATTTCAGTATTTATCGCTAACAGTATTTCCTGTGATTGCAGTTAGCATCTAATTCATAAAACCATAGGGTTGGAAAGGACCTTGGACGTCTTCTCATTCAATCCCCTGCCCAAGGCAGGAGTCCATCCAGGACCACCGATTATCCAGCCCTTTCTTGAAAACCTCCAGCGATGGAACACCCACAATTCTGGAAGGCAAGCTGTTCTTCAAATATCCTTTATAAAAACTCTGGCTAGTTAATAGTAAATATTGAGGATTAGTCATAAGTAAGATCAGAAATCCCAAAACATTTGGCAACTGGGTACATTTTGAGAATCATATGATACTTTCACTCATCTCAAGCACTGAAAATTTCCCTAAAATCCCAAGTATTATATATAGTTTACATAAGACTTGGAGTGTCTGACATTTTGTACTTTTAGTGGTCTATCAAACTATAAAATACAAAGAAAAATGAAAATAGGGGAGGCAAAGGGGAAGAAGAGAAAGTGTAGAATAAAGGGGAAAAGAAAAAGAAAAGCATTAACTTCTGATTCTTTTTGGTACAGTAGAATAAGATAACAACATATAACTTTGACTTTTTAGTTTTATATAATAATATGTATTAACTATTTCTATAAAAAACCTATGTAATCAGCAAAACCCAAAATCAAAGCTTCTTTTTTTTCCATCTCAAATGCAAAGTCCAAAAGTAGCTTCAAAGTTGAAACAAAGCTAATTGTATTCTTTTCTTTAATCAAAGTAATCAATTTCACCATATCTGCTAACTCCATCAACCTTTGGAGCCATTTGTCTATTGTGGCATTCAAGATATTCTTCCATTTCTATGCATAAAATATTGTAGGTGCTGTCAACATATATAACATCAAAGTTACTTCTTTTTTTCAAATTCTTTATTCATTGGGCCTAAAAGAAAAGTCTCTGGTTTTACCTTTAAATTCATTTTAATAATCTTCTGTATTAAGATGCAAATTCTACTCCAATATTTCAATGCTTTGTTATCATTAATGATAAAAAGTTCCTTCTTTACATTTACATTTCCAATGTTCATTCTTATACATTCTTTATACAGACTTTGAATGTCATATATTAGGCTACCTCCCACTCCCAGACAAAAAAGCAATTGTAGGTAAACTCAGGTATTGCAGAGATGTAATTTTCAGCATGACAGCCACTCATTTATAACAATGGATCCTGCATGAATGTGACACAGAAAAAAGTAGACTACAAAATAATCAAATTTGGTTAATTCAGTCAGCCCATTAATTGCGAACCACTGACATCCGAAATAAAAATATGCAATAGGTAGAGTGACTTTAGGGACTTGGCATAATTTCTACACAAGAATCGGCAGTAATAATCTTGCTAACATTCATGACCGATGTAATTGTTTGCTTCTGACTCTTCTCTGATAGTGTCCCATCCGGCATAACTTTTCCCATGCCTATTCACATTGCATTGAATAAATGTT